AGCAAGCCTATTAGATTCCTTCTGCCCAAACTCACTCATGGACAAAGAGAGGACATATTTTCATTAATTAGATAATAGGGAGGTCATGAATACAATACTACATCATTTTATTAGTTATTTTATCTTAAAATCTCAAAATATACATATTTTCATAGTTGGAAGTGGAATAAATGATTCAAACACAATAATATTTTGTTTGGATTTTCCTGCAACCATATACAACCCACACTATGTCTACGGTGCCTACAATAGATATAAAAGAGTACAATAAAAGTGTCGGCAACAAGGCCTCAGCTATACCTCAAGTACAATATATAAGGAACAAAAGATACATAACCCCCAAATTAAATGGAGCTCATCAAGACTGCTGGGAGGGGGATGTACCGCTATCACTGATCAATGCTACCTGCTATGGAGCTACCTGCATCTATTTAAAGATGCAGCGCCTCTGGCAAAAAGGACGTTTGTACCGTGGAATAGTACTAGTATGTATAACTAAACACCACCTCAATAGATAAACAATAATGCAAGTAAGAACAATCATAATATCAGTTAAAGCATTAAACATTTACCAAACATCAAACAAGGGATAAAATAAGTTTCCAATTAAATTTCCATATTTTAAGTCGGGGAAGTCTTTAGTACCAATATGCCACTATTCACCATATCGATTCAATTCCTAATACAGTCACCACTATGTGTACCGCATGGCATCCGATCATGACTCGATCGGCTAGGCCATCTCATATGAGACATCAACCACAATCACGGTTTCAGTTACAATTTTCCAATAAAGTCACAACCATGTATACGACATGGCGTCCGATCACGACCCGATCGGCTAGGCCATCTCATAAGAGACATCAACCATAGTTGCAATTTTAATTACAATTTCCAATAGAGTCACCATCATGTGTATGCCATGGCGTACGATCACGACTCGATCAGCTAGGCCATCTCATAAGAGACATCAGCCACAATTATATTATTTCACTTGGCACGTTGGTTGTATTCTATATTTCACATTTCATATTTCATTTTTAGTATTCCTCGCTTTGTATCTCATATTTCGTATTCTGCTTTTAACAATCATCATAGATATCCAACAACAAGGCATTTCTTTTCATAATATTTAAGCACACATGTGAGCAACTGAGAGTTTTAGGTACATTGAGATTTCTTACAGAATTGTCACTAGCTTTCGTTTGAAACACAAATTCATGTCAAGGCATTTAAACATGCAACCCATACTTTGAACACATTTTTCAAACAAGAGTATAACATAACAAGAGCATTTAAATTGCATATTGAACATGGATATCTTTTGGCACAAGCTTATTCGGAATGTTCAACTCTCCAATGGGCATCTCGGGACTTACATGGATATTGTGGCATTCAATTCTAAGAGAAGAATTTAGCCATACATATCTTAATTAAGCTTCCTCAAACTCTAAAATATTCCGTAATTTCTTAGCAACTTCAATCTATTTTAGAAATATAACAAATTGAACCAAAATTAGGAAGATGATCATGGTTCTAGCTCATTTGAGCATTTTATCTAACATTAGGTGTGCATTATAGTTCCAAGGTCCTCCTATGGTGGATTCCATCATCCCAAACCCATTATCTTCAATTCATAGCTCAACAATCTTCTTACACCCTTTGATAACACATGCATGCAAGGCGAACAACTCTCATGCCCAAAAAATATCTTTCTAATTACCCAATTCTAGATAAAATTTGAAATTGAGTTAGGGTGTAGAATCTCACCTTTAGGTTGAAGACATTGTGAGTTTTCCTTGTTGGTCTTCCAATATTTGAGCAAGAATTAAAGAAAAATTGTTGTGGAATACTTTCCCACTCTATGGAACTCTCTCACTCTAAAAGTATTAGGTTTTAGCTCAAGAAATGGTCCATTGCTTCTATTTAACGAAATGGGGGTGGGGTTATAAAAAAACTAAATTAGCATAGCCGCGGCACATGGGGTAGCGCGATAATGAAAAATGTGCCTAGAAATAAAATTTTGAAGTGTTCTGAAAATCCCCCACAGGCACGTAGCATCGGGCGGCATGATAGTGTAAAATTCTGCGAGCCTTTGGTAATTTGGTCATAACTTCTTGTAGGAGTGTCCAAATGATGAACGGTTTGAAGAGTTAGAAACTAGACTCAAAGATATTTTATTTTATAGGTTGTTCATCACATAAATCCTTATTTATATGTATATATTAGCGTCCAAAGCTTGGTCTTGTGCATACTCATTTGGAAATTTAGTCTATCATGAAATTTTCCAACTTGCCTTGGACTTAGGCCTCTCTTTAGACTCCACATCACTTATAATATGCCTCGTACACTTATTATCGTATCCAATTGATATCCATCATATTAATAGCCCTCGTTGGCATGTAAAGTAATATAACTAGCACACATCAACTTTCTTAATAGCGCTTAAGTACTTCGAAATTTTCCGGGGTGCTACAGGATCTACCCTGGATTAATATTTTCATTTGGGTTGGATATGCCTTGTACAATTCTAGGTGATTGAGTGTGATAAGTGAGAATTGAGACGGTCAGGTTGAGTACTCCGAGAGGGGGGGGGGGTACGGAGGCTCATGTTGTGTTGCATCACATACGATATGTATATTGGCATGTAGATATAGTGATGTCTTATTCCTCGTATCATGAAAACTTGATATATTTTATTTGTTCTGAGTTTAACTGTTAGATTGAAAGCATGTCTACATTTTCTGTACTGTAGCTCTGTAATTGGACTGTACCTGTGAGACTCGTTACTACTTTCAGTCCAAAGGTTAGATCTGTTACTTATTGAGTTGGTTGTACTCATGCTACATTCTGTACTTCGTGTGCAGATCCAGGTGCATACCGGCACAATGGTTGATGATTCTCAGAGTTTTCAATCATTCGGAGATTATCAAGGTAGCTTCCCTGGCGTCTGTATAATTTGACTCTCCTCCCTTATCTCTCAGTCTTTACTTATTCAGATTCTGTTTTCTTAGACAGTGTATCAGACTTTATCTTTGTATAGATGTTCATGTACTCAATGACACCCTGGTTTTGGGAAACTTCTGTATCGAGTTGTGACGGTTTTATCCGGCTTTATGAGATTTTCACTTATTTAAACATGTTTTAGTATATTTTGAATTTGAGAGTATCAGTATGTATGAGTTATCATCTTGCCTAGTATCATGATAGGCGCCATCACGACAGGTTGAGTTTTGGGTTGTGACACTAATATACTTGCATATAAATCCTAAACTACACCAAATATTAATTTCAAGAGAATTAGAAACCCCTAATATATATATATATATATATATATATATATATATAATCCCTAAACCCTACATGTATAAAAAAATCCTAAATAGTGTTTCAACTCGATACACAATCTTCTATATGGAAATGGGTTTTGCATTCTTATGGTAGAATGGACGGTGGTTTTTGGTAGTTTTGTGGTGGCTATTTGAACTGGAAATGAATGCATATCTGGCGTCTCTTTTTATGTCTGGTGGGTATATATGTATGTCGGGTGTATGTTATCATATATCACAGGTATCACTATACAGTGATATATACGCGATAACAACATATCATTGTATGTTGCATGTATATCATGTCCATGTATGTCTTTGTATATGTTAAATATAGGTTAAATACATAAACTGTCACATAAACTTACCTAATTTTTTTATTTAATGCCTAAACTAGCCTTGTTCATAAGAACATTTTACCTTGTTAGAAAGTTGTATGGGTCAAAATATGACTAATGAAATTCGGCACGAGGAGATATTATTAGAAGTGATTAGGCCGAGGTCGAATAATGATTAATGGAACTTACTGCCGAGCAGTCGGTTATGACCGAGGTCAAACGTTTAAAGCAACAGTAATGGCTAGTTTTCTAATAGGATATTTGGGAGAATATTCTGTACTTGTACTTTTAGGTTTGATTAGGAGCATGCCCATATAAATAGAAAGGGAGAGAGAAGGTAAAGTGTATGTATTATGTATTCTGATAAGAACTCTCTTAAAAAGTTGAGTCTCTAGATAAATACAAACACTGTCTTTCTAAAGAGATTTGATTCATTATTTTTTCTATACTTTTCACATTAGATCCGAGAAAGTCTCCAACATTCCTATAGTTATTTGTCTCACATCATTGTCAGAAAGAGGAATCATCCGCCTCATTCAATATTGGGTGAATCATTCTTTTTATTTACATTTAGTGATATTTATTGTTATTTAATGCTTGTAATTCTCATTCCATCATTAACCTTGAACATTTAATACATATTGCATAAAATCCATTCTAAAGTTGTCCCACGTTATCCACAGAGACCAATTTTAGATCTAAAGTCATTATATTTAACTAGGATTAACCTCTTATCTTTTTATTTAATTAGTTTAACCAAAGATCCATATTTTTTGGTCAAACAATTTGGCGCCGTCTGTGGGAATTTTCTAGTTAAAATTTTCATTTCTTCTAGATCTATAACCAACCAAAAAAACGCAAAACCTTACACTTTCTTGTGCACACAGATCTAACATGGCAGGTAACAGAGAAGAAAGGAGGAAGGCAGTAGCCGACCATACTACCAACCTCCTTAACACCATCAACGAGGTCTCCTAAACGGAGGGTGAAGATATAACACCAAATACCTCTCCCAGGCGGAACGACTCACCCCCTCCTCATGGTAGCATCACAGCGTCTCACGGTAAAGGAGCCTCCTAGTCCACAATAAAAGGTGTCACCAGCGGTGAAAAAACTGCTCGAGGCTTGGCTAACAAATACGTTGACCGACATCCTTGAAAACCCCACTCAAAAAGAAACCGAAGAGGGCGCAAGGACCTGCGTCGCACCAACAGCAGTCGAACAGCATGGCCCCTCCACTCGCAGTAGGTATCACTCACAATGTTAATGATGTGGTAACGATGCCCTCACAGCCATCTTAAGGAAAATGGAAGAGATGGAAAATGAAAACAAAATGCTCCGAGATCAAATGAAAGAACATCAAGAAAGGGTAGACAAAATACCGGGCGCCCCAAAACTCTTACCAAAAAGTGACACCGGCCGGTTTGTCGAGCAATCGTACAGTGATGAAGCTACACTGCATACCATACCTAAGACCTTCAAAATGCCTCTATACCTAAAAATATACGACGTCACGACAGACCCTGAGGATCGTGTAACTCACTATGTCACTGCAGTAAAAGGCAACGACCTCGCCAAAGAGCAAGTACCCTCCATCTTATTGAAAATGTTTGGTGAAACCCTCACCGGAGGCACGTTAACTTGGTATTCACAACTACCTGCGCGCTCAATTGAAACATTCGAGGAGATGGATGACAAGTTTGTAATGGCCCATGCCCGAGCCATGAAGGCAGAGGCAAGAGTAAATGATATATTTGCCATCAAACAATCACCCGGAGAGGGACTGAGGGACTTCCTTGCTCAATTTAATCGCGTAAGGATGACCTTAACAAATGTATCGGAAGGAATGGGCGTGGCAACTTTCCAGAATAGGTTGAATAGAAGCGGTTCAAGGGCGACCAGAAAGCTACTGAGTCGGCTCATGAAATATCCCCCAACTACTTGGGACGAAATACACAATGCCTGTTGCGCCAAAGTTTGAGCTGACAAAGACGACCTAAATGGACCAACCTAACGACTTACCTCAATACAAGCCGAGTCCATAAAGGATCATAAAAATGACAACAAAAGAGATCTAGCAGGTCCCCGACCCAACTGAGAAAGACATCAACCATACGTCAGAGGCGCCTTCATACCGCCATCCTGCCATGACGAAAGCCCATCCAAGCCAAGAACAAGGACTCACCAAACGAGAGAGGTATTTCCCCTTATTATATGCTAACAACTTTTGTAATTTGCCTTCCGAAATAGAATATGTATTGGAGAAGCTCGGTCCAAAAGTGAAGCGGCCACAGAAGATGAGGTCCGACCCAAGCACCAGGAAGTCAAACGCCCTCTGTGAGTTCTGTCAGGAACGAGGTCATAAGACCGAGGACTGCATTGCCCTAAGGCAAGATGTCGTAAACATGCTTCACCAGGGGCACTTGAAAGAGCTAATGAGCGACTGAGGAAGAGCCAACTCCGCTCGAGGACGTGAACAGCGCCAGGGCCCACCCAAACTACCTTCCCCAACTCGAACCATTCAAATGATTATTGGAGGGAGCAATGACGCTTTGATCAACAACTTGAAGTTTACCACCACCCATAAACTCAAACGGTCTATCACTCATGAACGGTACAACGAACTCGAAGAAAGTATCATCTTCGATAAGTCTGATACTAACTGTTTGGTCTGTCATCACTATGATGCTCTTCTTATCACTTTGCACATATTAAATATAGATGTGAGATGAATCATGGTGGACAACGGGAGCAGCGCATGCATTATCCACCCTCGAATACTTGCACAGATGAAACTCGAGGATAAGATAGTGCCACGCTGCATCACACTAGCCGATTTTAATAATGCAGTTGAACGAACCCCTAGAGAAATCATGCTCCCCGTCCTGGCCAGTGGTGTCACCCTGGACACCACATTCCACGTTATAGACCAGGACATGGCGTACAACACCATAATAGGTTGGCCTTGAATATACGCCATGAAGGACATTCCCTCCAGCTTGTAGAAAATCATCAAATTTCCCACATGAGGAGTATACAACATTCAAGGAGAACAACGCACTTCCCGAGAATGAAATCGCATCACCCAGGATTGTACATACACCCAGCAGATGAAGGGCAAAGCTAAAGAAGCATAGCAATCAACAAAGTCGAGGTCCCACTCAAAAAGCAACCGGAGAGGGCGCAAGGACCTGCATTGCACCAACAGTAGTCGAACAGCACGACCCCCTCCACTCGTAGCAGGTATCACTCACAATGTTAATGATGTAGGAAATGATGCCCTCACAGCCATCCTAAGGAAAATAGAAGAGATGGAAAACGAAAATAAAATGCTCCGAGATCAAATGAAAGAACATCAAGAAAGGGTAGACAAAATACGGGGCGCCCCAAAACTCCTGCCAAAAAGAGATGTTGGCCGGTTCGTCGAGCAACCGTACAGTGATGAAGCCACACCGCATACAATACCTAAGACCTTCAAAATGCATCTGTACCTAAAAATATACGACGACACGATAGACCCTGAGGATCGTGTAACTTACAATGTCACTGCAGTAAAAGGCAATGACCTCGTCAAAGAGCAAGTACCCTCCATCTTATTGAAAATGTTTGGTGAAACCCTCACCGGGGGCACGTTAACTTGGTATTTACCACTACCTGTGCGCTTAATTTAAACATTTGAGGAGATGGAAGGCAAATTTTTAATGGCCCGTGCTCGAGCCATAAAGGCAAAGGCAAGAGTAAATGATATATTTGCCATTAAACAATCACCCGGAGAGGGACTGAGGGACTTCCTTGCTCAATTTAATCGCATAAGGATGAACTTTCCAAACGTATCGGAAGGAATGGCCGTGGCAGCTTTCCAGAGCGAGTTCAACAGAAGCGGTTCAAGGGTGACCAGAAAGCTACTGAGTCGGCTCATGAAATATCCCCCAACCACTTGGGACGAAATACATAATGCCTATTGTACCGAAGTTCGAGCTGACGAAGACGACCTAAATGGACCAACCCAACAACTGACCTCAATATAAGCTGGGTCCATAAAGGATTGGAGAAACGACAACAGAAGAGATCTAGCAGGTCCCCGACCCAACCCGGAAAGACATCAACCATACGTTAGAGGTGCCTTCATGCCGCCATCCTGCCATGACGAAGGCCCATCCAAGCCAAGAACAAGGACTCACCAAATGAGAGAGGTATTCCCCCTTATTATATGCTAACAACTTTTGTGTTTCGCCTTCCGAAATAGAATACGCATTGGAGAAGCTCGACCCAAAAGTGAAGCGGCCACAGAAGATGAGGTCCGACCCAAGAACCAGGAAGTCAAATGCCCTCTGCGAGTTTCGCCAAGAACGAGGTCATAAGATCGAGGACTGCATTGCCCTAAGACAAGAGGTCGTAAACATGCTTCACCAGGGGCACTTGAAAGAGCTGATGAGCAACTGAGGAAGAGCCAACTTCGCTTGAGGATGTGAACAGCGCCAGTACCCACCCAAACCACCTTCCACAACTTGAACCATTCGAATGAACATCGGAGGGAGAAACGATGCTTCAATCAACAACTTGAAGTTTACCACCACCCACAAACTCAAACGGTCGATCACTCATGAACGGTACAACGAGCTCGAAGAAAGTATCATTTTCGATAAGTCCAATACTAATGGTTTGGTCTTTCCTCACTATGATGCTCTTGTTATCACTTTGTACATATGAGATATAGATGTGAGATGAATCATGGTGGACGATGGGAGCAGCGTGTGCATTATCCACCCTCGAGTACTTGCACAGATGAAACTCGAGGATAAGATAGTGCCACGCTGCATCACACTAGTCGGTTTTAACAATGCAGTTGAACAAACCTCTAGAGAAATCACGCTCCTCGTCCTGGCTGGTGGTGTCACCCTGGAAACCACATTCCACATCATGGACCAGGACACGGCGTACAACACCATAATAGGTTAGCCTTGAATACACGCTATGAAGGACATTCCCTACAGCTTGTACCAAATAATCAAATTTCCCACCCCATGAGGAGTATACAACATTCAAGGAGAATAATACACTTCCCAAGAATGAAATCGCATCACCCAGGATTGTACATACACCCAGCAGATGAAGGGCAAAGCTAAAGAAGCATAGCAATCATAGAGTCGAGGTCGAGCGGTGATGAAAAGAAGGACATGATCAAAGACCCCGAAATCATTGAAGCCACAGGATCAATCGTAAAAGACCTCAACCCCGTCCAACTTGATGATAACGACTACAGCAAGAAAGCCTACATCAGCCACAAGCTTCAAGAATTAGGTAAATTCTATCAATTCTTAAATAATAACATAGACTTATTTGCCTTTTCTGATGCAGACATACTAGGTATCCCAAATGAGATAGCGACACACAAGCTGAACGTCGATCCATTCTACCCCCCGGTAAGACAAATTAGGAGGAAGTTCAATTCCGCAATAACTAATACAATCCATAAAGAGGTTGAAAAGCTGTTGGAAAACGGCTCCATCAGGAGTCAAAATACTCCCAATGGGTCACTAACGTGGTCATGGTGAAAAAGAAGAACGGAAAATGGTGAATGTGCGTGGTCTTCACAGATCTAAATAAAACCTGTCCAAAAGACTCATTTTCGCTTCCTCACATCGACCAGCTCATTGACGCAACGGCCGGGCATGAGCTGCTAAGCTTCCTAGACGCATACTCGGGCTATAACTAGATCCTCATAGAGGAGGAGGACCAGGAGAATACCACCTTCATCACCCACCAAGGAACATATTGCTACAGGGTGATGCCTTTCAGACTGAAAAATGCGAGCGACGTATCAAAGGTTGGTGACAAGGATGTTCAAAGATCAACTCGGCAAAACCATGAAGGTCTAAATAGACGATATGTTGGTCAAGTCCAAAAGGAAATAAGATCACATTGATCACCTGAAGGAAGCTTTCGACATACGCAGGCGATACAAAATGAAATTGAATCCTGAAAAGTGTGCATTCATCATGACCTCGAGGAAATTCTTGGGCTTCCTAGTATTACAACAAGGTATCGAGGTCAACCCCAACCAAATCAAAGCTATAGAGGGGATACCGGAGAACTTAACCAATAAAAAATAGGTTCAAAGGTTGACCGACCATATAGCCGCCCTGTCGAGATTCATCTCGCGGTCTTCCGACAGGTGCCATAAGTTCTTCGGCGTACTCAAAAAAGAAAACGGCCTCCAATGGACCGTCGAATGAGCCGACGCCCTGAAGGAATTAAAGGCCTACCTATCATTTCCCTCATTGCTCTCCAAAGTATAACCTGGAGAATGCATTCTCGTCTACCTGGCAGTGCCCAAAGTGCGGTAAGCGCAGTCCTGGTCCGAGAAAATAAAGGTACGTAATCTCCCATCTATTACATTAGCAAAACTTTAGTTGACGCCGAGACGAGGTACCCCCACCTCGAAAAGTTGGTCCTGACTTGGTCGTAGCTTCACGGAAGCTTGGACCTTACTTTTAATGCCATCCCATCTTGGTAGTCATGACTTTCCCCTTAAGAAGTATTTTGCATAAGCTCGAACTATCGGGTAGACTGGACAAATGGGCCATAGAGTTAAGTGAACATGATATCACGTATCAATTGTGAACGATGATAAAGTCGCTAGTACTTGTCGACTTCGTCACCGACATTAGCGCAAAAATAATGCCTGAAGTCGAAAGAGAACCTACCAACACCTCTCCCCAAAAACAAGGTCCATGGATTTTGTACGGTGATGGCACCTCTAATGTATCAGGGTCCGGATTGGGACTCGTGCTCGAGGTCCCGACAGGTGAAGTAATTCTCCAGTCCATCAGATGTCCGGACATGACTAACAATGAGGTCGAGTACGAGGCCGTGATTGCAGGATTAAGACTGGCACTCGAGTACGGAGCAAGACGAGTCATCTTAGATGCGACTCTCAGCTTGTATCCAACCAAGTCACAAGGACTTTCCAAATGAAAGAGCAAAGGTTACAGAAGTATTAGGCTGAGATCTGTAGACTGCTACCTAAATTTGATGAATTACAGCTCAACCAGATCCCTCGAGCACAAAATATTGAAACAGACGGCCTTGCCAAGCTAGCAGCGGCCACTAAAAGCATAATCAGAAAAGGAAACATGGTCACCCTCCTCCACTAATCAATCAACCAAATCGAGGTAAGGACTATAAACCTATCTTGGGACTGGCACGATTGTATTGTGGCATACTTACAGGATGGCGTGCTCCCTGATGATAAAAAAAAGCCAAGAAGCTTCGAATGCAAGCGGCCAGGTATAGCGTCATTGACAATGACCTTCATAAAAGGACGTAAGGCGGACCCCTAGCAAAATGCTTGGGCCCGAACCAGACACGTTGCATTCTAGAAGAAGTCCATGAAGGCCACTACGAATCACATTTTGGCGATTGAGCTCTGGTCAGATGTCTTATA